ATTACTATTATTCTTATTTATTTATTTATTTATTTATTTATTTTTTTTTTTTTTTAACGAGTAGCAATAAAAGTAAATTTTGTTAAATGAAACAAAAAGAAAAAAGATAGAAGAGCGAAAAAAAAAAAAGAAAAGAAGAGAAAAAAAGAGAAGTTTTTAAGTTCGATTGAGATTCATTCGAATAAGCCATTGACATAGGTCGTCACCGTATATACATATTATAATCGTAAAGGGTATACTGGCATTCTAAATTTAACAAAGTCTCTCGATAATCGATAGGGTATCTCGAACATCAGAGAGGTCTCCTTATATAAACATACACACACGACATACGTAACACACACACACACACATATATATATATATATGTACGATGGATATAAGAGTTGGATGAGCGAAAAACTAGAGTGAATTTAAAGCACGGAAATTTCTCGGAAAAATCGTCCCGATAAACGTATAGAAAAAGAGAAAAACGATTTTGTTAGAAAGGGTCAACGATTTATGGTTATCCATCGAAGCCGAGTGTTATGGCGGTAGGAAGGACTCGAGAAAGATACCTGCTATCCTCTTACGTCTTATTTTTTTTTTCCTCATCCTTCCCAACCCCTTTCTTTCCCTTTTCCCTTTCAACCATTACCCCTACCCTCTTCTCTCCATCCCTTCCTCCCTCCCGCCCTCTTGCCCGCCCCCCTCTTTCTCACTAGTACGCTCCATTCGCCATTTTCTCTATCCCTTCTACTTCTTCTTACGTTCATCTTTTTTCTCCCACCCCCATCCTCATCCTCATATCCCCCCACTACCCACCCACTTTTCATATTCTTTTTCTACTTTCTTATACATAATCATGCGCTCGTACGTACACATTTTACGAGTCGGAGTTTTGACGACGACTTTGTTGAAATATTTAACGATCGTTAGCACGAAAACTCTCGATCGACTTCTTTTTCTCACGAAAGGAATAATCACCATTCGTAATAACAATTATCACCATAATAATTCATCATTATCATCAATGTCGCCGTCAACATCATTACCATATTATTGTTTAAACTCTTATCTTTTTTCCTTTGTACGAAAGGAGAGAACACACGTCTGGACGATAGATAGACGCGAAAATCTCTTTTGTAAAATGTAATATAATAATAATGTATTTATATGTTAAATCGATATAACAAATTAATTAATAAAATTTTAATGAGATCGTAAGTATTACCACGCCTGCATTATAATTATTATTATTATTTCATTTTTCTATTATTTTATCGGCAAGTTCGAATAACAATATTATTAATTTTAATAATAATAATAATAATAATAATAATAATAATAATAATAATAATAATAATAATAATAGTAATAATGATGATGATAATGATGATGATCATGATGACGATTATAATGATAATGGTAAATAATTTATATATAAATTCGCAAATTCCATTCGACGTATTTCTAATGAGAATGAACAAATCGAAAATAATAAAGAGATAAAATGTATTATAAAAAAAAAATATATATATATATATTATAAACGTATTGCAAACAAATTGTTGATAATACGATTGATCTCGGTGTTTTTTTTTCTTTTTTTTTTTTTTTTTTTTTTTGTAACATACCTTTCTTTATCTTTTTAAAAGTAAGAAAACGTAAAAATTCTTAGCTCTCGTTAAGAAAATGATAAAGATAAAACTGTATTATAAAGAATTAAAATATTCTTCATAAAATAATTATTATTTTAATATATTCTTATTAAAATATCTTTATAATATTATTATTATAATATTATTATTAATAGTTATTAATTATAAATATATTGTAAACAAATTGTTGATATTACGATCGATCTAGGAATTTTTATTCCTTTTTTTTTTTTTCTTTTTTTTTTTTTAACATTCTATGGATCTTTTTCAAATTGCATTTTGTTACATATACACACATACACACACACACACGCATATATATTTATCTCTATTTCTACTTTTTTTGAAGAAAGAAAAAGTGAAGTTTTTACCTCTCGCGTACTATTACGCAAGAAAATTAAGAGAAGAGAAGAGATGAGAAGGGAAGAGAAGAGAAAAGAAGAAAAGAGAAGAGAAGGGTCGGAAGTAAAAAAGGCGGTCGTCTTGGCGCCTACGTGATTCGAATATAACGTGAAGAATACTACAACGACAACGACGACGACGACGACGACGACGACGACGACGACGACGACGACGACGACGACGACGACGACGACGACGACGACGACGACGACGACGACGACGACGACGACGACGAAGACGACGACCACAATGAAAACGACGACGACGACGACGACCACGATGACGACGACGACGACGACTAGTTCGAGGAGTTTCTCACTCTAAAAAAGATGACATCTTTTTTACTTTTCTCTTTCTCTCTCTTTCTCTCTCTCTCTCTCTCTCTCTTTCTCTCTCTTGAATCTGCAAGAGGATGCATATGCCTCGGCGATTCGTAATCGAGCTAGCAAAGCAGATGGAAATGTCGGGTGCTTGAAAAAAGGTGAGATACGAGAAGAAACTTAACGAGGAATGAGAAAGATAGAAAGAAAGAAAAAGAT